GATGATAGGTAATGCTAGGCAAGGTGGCACAAGTCTGTAATTGCAGCACTCAGGGAAGAGGAAGGTGGATCTTTGTGACTTCAAGGACAATCTGGTTTATGTGGTGAGCTTCAGGCTAGCCAAGATCCTATTTCAATAGTAGTAACAACAGCAGCAGCAGCAGCAGCAATACAAATAAATTTTAAAAAATAGAAAGAAACTACCATAACTCACTTTCTGTGTTATTTGTGAGGGAGGGAGTTTTCCAAGATCCTTAGGAGTTTCCCATTACAGCCAGGTGGTGGTGGTGGTGCACAACATCAATCTTAGTGTTCGGGAGGCAGAGGCAGGTGGATCTCTGTCAGTTCGAGGCCAGCCTGGTCTAAAGAGTGGGTTCCAGGACAGTAGGGCTACACAGAGAAACCGTTTCCCATTAGTGGGAGCCACAGGTCATCTGTCCAGTATAACTACATTACACCGGAAGAGAGCACACCAGAAGCAAGCTATGGTTTTGCCCGGAGTGAAATTCTGCACATGTGAATTTTATGCTTCTTCCTAATTCCCATAGGCGTACTCAACAACCTTTTACCACGAGCAATCTGCTCCTGGGGATTGAGTCCAGTTCTCAAACATTCTAGGTAAGTACTCTGCAGTTGAACTGTACACTCAGCCTTGGAAACCTGCTTTAAAAACCCTTTCTTTTGTACCTGTGACCTTTATGGCCTGAGGCAACGCTATATCGTGAGGGTGTGAGGTTGCTTACTGCTCAAGAGGAAGTGTGCACTTAGGTTTTAATTTTCTGGAATACTCTGCACTGTGGGGTTGGTTCCTTCTGATACTTTATACATTTAAAGATATATTAATGTGTCATTGCTTTTCAGAAACACAGAATTTATAAAGGAGTCTTGATAAAGGAGTTCAAAATATTACAACAAACATGAATAAGAGATTAAAAGTTGGCAAGCTGAATAGCCTTCACACTTTCTTTTAGAGGAAATAAAAAGCCAGCCAGTCTATTAACTTTAGCTGGGCCTGCCATGCTGCCCATAAGGGTGGGCAGGAGCCCGGGCCCGCACTGGATGCCAGAAGTCCTTGGGGCATCAGTAGTAGTTTCTTTCATCTCAGCTTCTCTTCGGGCACACACTGGAAAGCTCTTCTGACTTCAGCAAAACAGGAACTAGCGGCCCAGAGAGGCTCAGATCCAACCGCTCTGACCTCTGGCCCAGTCTCAGCACTGGAAACAGCATCAGCTGTGTTTACTAGTGGCGGCCTTCGTGCTCAGTGTAAGGAAGCTGCCTATTAATTTTAGAGAACTATTTTAGTTAGGGTGCTCTGAGAAACAGCTCTGTTCTGCCGCATGTAGCCCGAAGTCATGGGGTCCCCAGTCTTCCTCTGTCATTGGTTTCTTATATATCCTGACCCTGATGCCTCAGGAACCTCCCTCTGCTGGGCCAACTCTAGTACATTTCATCATTCTAATTAAGTTCTGTATTTCATTTATAGCTGATATTGCTCAATCACTGTTGAGACTCAGTAATCAATGTGACAAAAACAGATTATACAAAGAGGTCATTCCAGCTGGGTCCTTCTGCTAGAAAAGAAGGTCAGGGTATAAGAGTTCTCTAGAGGAACAGAACTTACTGAATCCCTCTCTATGTAGAGAAAGGGGATTTATTAGAATGACTTACGGGCTGTGCCCCTGCTAATCCAACAACGGCTGTTTATGAATGAAAGGTCCAAGAATCCAGTAGTTGTTAGTCTACGAGGCTGGGTGTCTCAACCGTTCTCAGTATACAGTGGATTTCTGGAGAGGGTTCTAATGCCAGTGAAGGAATGGGCTTGCTGTGAGAGTGGGAGCAAGCAGGCAGAGACAGTGCTCTCTTCCTCCTCATCCTTTATAACAGGCTGCCAGCAGGTGTGGCCCCGATTCAAGGTGGGTCTTTCCACCCCAAAGGTCCAGATTAGAAACGGCTCTCCACACTTCAAATGATTTAATTAAGAGAGATCTCTCACAGGTGTGCCCTAACATTTAGGTTTTAGTTAATCCCAGGTGTAGCGAAGTTGACAACCAAGAATTGCCACCACAGCTGGCTTCTCTCTGCAGCTGTTTTTGCAACACTGTCCATGTGGGGGAGGCTGGACCCACGGGTATCAGGCAAGCTATTACTTACAAGAGCAAAGCTTCTTAAGGGAGTTTTTTTTTTTATCACACACACACACACACACACACACACACACACACACACTTGGTGTACTGAATAGTCTTATGCCAACTTGACACAAGTAGTCATTTTAGAAGATTAATGCCTCCTGAAGGCAAGCCTTAGGGCATTTTCTTATTTAGTAGCTGATGTAAAAGGCCCAGTTGTTGTAGAATATTCCTCTTCTACACTACACAGATTTGTCACTCGAATTGGTTTAGTAAAATGCTGATTGACCAGTAATAGCCAGGCAGGAAATGACCAAACTACAGCTGATGGGAAGAAGGGTAGAATCAGAGAGTCACTGGCAAACACAGAGATGCGAGATGAGAATGCACTCCTGAGAAAAGGTACTAAGACGTGGTTAAACAGATAAGAATTATGGGTTAAGTGTAAGAGTTATCTAGTAACGTGCTTGAGTTACTGACCAAGCATTTACAGTTAATATAAGCCTCTGTGTGGTAATTTGGAGGAAGCTACCAGATGGGGAGCTGGGGGATGGGACAAGAAACCTCTGTCTACACTCAGTCCTTTGTGGGCAGTAAGTACCAACTTGGGCTGGTGGTCCTGGTTCTATAGCAATGCAGGCTGAGGAAGCCAGTAAGCAGCACTCCTTCATGGCCTCTGCATCAACTTCTGCCTCCAGGTTCCTGCCCTGTTTGAGTTCTTGCCTTGGCGTCCCTTAATGGACTGTGGACTCAGGATTTTTCAGCCAAATAAACCCTTTCCTCTCCAAGTTGCTTTTGGTCCTAGTGTTTCTTCACAGCAATAGTAATCTTAACTATGACACTTGCTAAAATTGTTTCCTAAGATCTTACAGTTGCTACATTTGACTTCAAATAAGAATCTGTGCTTCCTGTTAAAACATTTATCCATCAACAAACATGAAGACGCCCTCCGTTCCCTGTGTAACTCCCTGAGTGGAAACTGATCTGTAAATCCACAACCACATCCTGTTACACAGACACACACTCACTGGAAAGACAACTGTCAGGATAAGAATGTAGGAATCTGTAAGCCCAGGCAGCTTTTAACATATATTTTTTTTTATTAAATATGTAAAAAGGTCAACGCAAGTCAAGTTATTCACATCTTCAGAGACAAAGAGCTATCCTACCATGCGACAACAGTGGGCAATGTAAATGGGTGTGAAAGCATCTGAATAAGACCTCTTCATCTAGAATGCCATTACTTATCGATATTTATAATTAACAATACATATGTTTACATTCCTTTCAGTTTACATTTAATATATAACAAAAGCTTTATGGTGTACTATTTAGTGAAAGCAATCTGAATGCATATTAAACCTTAACGGAATAATGGAGACACTCACCAGGGAAAGGAGGGAGTCTTGGCTCCCTTCTGGGGTTTCCTTCTCTCAGTTCAACAGGATGTTTATTTATTTTTTTACCTTTTTCCTGCTTTTTCTACTTAGAATGAACATGAGCTTTCTCTTTGTCCCGTGCTTCGATCACTTCCAATCTAACAGTGATAATGGAAGTGCTATAATCAGACATCAGCGGGCGTGGGATGAGCAAAAAAGAAAATTCCTGAGGGAGGAGGAGCAGGGCACACATACTGGGATGCCTCTGGACCCAATATGATGTCAGGTGATTGGGAGAGAGCTTAGGGGCACGTGTGCCCTGAATGCCAAGAAAAGAGAGTGTGTCCCACCACGCATCAGCAGTGGGTGCCCAGAGGCAAGGGTTCCAGCCTAAGGATAACTTGGAAATCGCTGTGAATGATGTGCCCAAGCATCCATGGCATCGTCTGGGACTTAACACTTGAAAAGAATATTTAAGATGGGTATGGGAAGAGAAGGTACAGCTTGTCTCTAAATGGATGAATGGTCTAGCCTGAGCCACTGGGAAGGAGGAGGGGTATACCAGCTGGGAAACATTATTTCAGGCTGAGACATGTGGCCAGCAGGTCTCCAGCTAAGTAGTCCAGGGAGGTGAAGAGGAATGGGGTGCTTCCAGCAAGAGGCACTGGGAGAGCTTTATGCAAGTTTACCAGCCTCAAGAGGCCTGGGAGAAGACAAGCGTCTGACTCCCTGGTACCCATTTACAGGAGTGTGGCCATAAAATCACCCAACCCTAGGCATTACTGAGATCTCCAGGGCAGGTGATGCAACCACTCTGGTATCCATAAGTAGCTGTTCATTGTACCTCTTTATAATAGCTATTATGTAAACAAACAAAAACACAGTGAGTGAATAAGACAGACTCTGAAGAGCAACAGACCAGTAAACCTGACGCTGCCCATAGCACGGCCACTGCCACAATCAGGCATGGGAGGATGTCACTGCAAGGAGCAAGGCCTTCCAGCCTCAGAGAGGTGAGCTGCTGCTGTAGGGCTGAGTGAGCAGGAGAGAGAAGGAAGGGGAACCAGACACCATGGGACATCTGTCCACGTCTGCACAGTGCGTTGTGACCATCTCAAGGACGCAAGCCATCTTCCCACAGAGACCTCATTACGTACACCTGGCTGGAAAGGGTGATTTCGGAAAGCCTTCTTTTGTTGCAAACTTCGATGCTAGAATTTAAAGTTAGCATTTCATCAGTTAATAAAGAACTTTCAAAGCTTTATGATGCATAATTCACAAATTTATTTTGAGTTTTTTTTTTAAGTGGAAGGTGGGGCGGGCACATTTGTTTCTTGTTTTTCTGCACTTGCTGGCCCAATGACCAGAGACAGGAAACCGAGAAGGAGGGAGCTAGGAGGGGCGCCATCTGCCAAAAGGGGGAGACAGGCAATGGTCAGGAAAGACACTAAGAAAATGTGCAAATGTTAGTCAAAAACAAGGAATGCTTTCAATTCACTAATGTCTCCTATTTATTTATGAATTGCCACGGTCGAGCAAATGTCAATGACAAGGGCCCCTGTGTTGCAGAGACGGGGAGGGTCCTTACTCCGGAAGGTAGTGGGAGTCACTGAAACCATGCTTCTAATCAAGTCTTCATTTCCACCTTTGCAGCCAGTCCCAACACGGTGCGGAAGGCTGGCATGCTGGGTACACCCTCGAGTTACACAGATCCCCTAACTCATGGGAATTGCGGGGCCTGGGTTGAAGCCCTCACAAAGGGGGAGAGGAATGAGGCGGGAAGGCTTGTGCCTTCTGAGACTCCCCCCCCCCCCCGCCCCCGCCTTTGCAACTGCAGACTGCCAATGACAACATCTTGCGGGGAATGGACCCCCACCAAAGAGGACCCTGAGAAAAGAAAACAACACGGGAAGCTGGGAAGTGGGGCGGGCGGGCGGGCAGGGGCACACGGAGCCGAGGCGAAGCTGAGATGGTGTTGTCTGGGAGTGAATGTCGTCTGTGTGGTTGTCTGATAGGCTGCTCTATCAACACTGCTGGGCCCTGAAGTCCTAGTTCTGAAATCCATTCTTTTCCCCTTAGTGTTATGAGTAGAGGGAGAAACTGCGTTCTTCCCACGACACAAGCTACTGTCTTATGGCTTTCATATCAAGGATCTGTTTCCCTTTGTTCCAATTACTTAATCTGACCAAATTTATGATAGGAGGTTAGACTCGCAAACATCAAAGCACCACAAATGCGTGTGACATCTAGTGACACTGGGTTGAGAAATGCCAATATAAATACCATATATCAAATTACCATTGTTTCACACCAGGATAAAAAGGGGTGGTGGTGGTAGCGGTGGTGATGGTGGTGGTGGTGGTGGTGTTGGGGTGGGAAAGAGCTGTTCTGGAAAGAAACAAGGGAAAGAGTAGAACCAATTTCAAGCAGCCGAGTGGTGAAGTTGAAGGTATGTGACCCTATGACCTCGCAGGTAGATGACCAGAAAGAACAGCCATCTGCTAACGCATCTTGGCAAAGGAAATGGAGACCAAGTGCAATGGTTGGCGATGCGACATCGCGGCGGATGGATAGTAACGGCAGGTTGGGAACAGCTGGTTTCTACTGAGCTCCAGGCCACACACGTTCCAATTCTCCAGAAGAAAAGTCCCTACACACGATGGAAGTGTCAAGAGCTGCTGAGGCGGTTCAGTACTCTTCTTGCTGCTGGGGCTGCTGGTCATGGGCTTGCTCCTCGGCTTCTGGCTCTTCTGTTTGGCCCTCCTGTGGGGGAGGGGACAGGTGTCAGCCAAACTGGTTTCTGTCAGACCCTGTGAGGTGCCAGTCCTAATCACTATGAATCACCAAAACGCCAGGCTCTGGAGTACCCTAGGCTCAGGCACAACTCAACATGCCAATGTTCCTAGCCTCCAGGTGTCAATGCTAGATACAGGGACATTCTCACGTCCTTGTACCATCTAAGGAGGACCATTCTGACAAGCGTAACTGTCAGGTGTTAGGGACCCATCTTTTCTTCCAACTGCTCTGCAGGAGGTCATCATAGGACACACTGTACTTTCCGACCCTCAGCAAGAGTCGCTGTAACTGCAAAGACCCCAGGCCCTTGAAGATGTGTAGGACCGTTGTCTCTCCCTCATGGCCCATGGCTCATGACTTACTGTTCCATCTGAGGCTGTCATTTCTCATGACATCTAATGCCCGTATGAAGTGGACTTAAGACACCAAAAAAAGCAACTTGTTAGTTCCTGAGGGGAAGGAGACGGGTGACGGGCATTTCACAGGCTGATGTAGGCCAAGAGGCCCCTTTCAGCATTGTGCTCAGAAGCTCTGCCCCAGGACCTTGTCGTGTTCTTTGCAGGGTGTGAGGCCCTATCTGCTTACCTTCTGCTCACTGACTGGGAAGCAGAAGGGCCAACGTTCCTTTGCTTGGCTCCACAAGGCCTACTTACTCAGTGAAGCGGATCATAGGCCTTACCTCAGCCTCAACTGCAAATCCTTCCTTTTTTTTGTGTGTTTTTTGAGGTCACAAAGAATAATTAGTTTTTTTTTTTATCACCCAAGCAGAAACAGTGAGGCAAACAGATAGTGGCTAACTGCCCTCAGAAATGGCACAGGACTTCAAGATGCAGTGTGGCATGCACACTGGCACATTCAGACATGTGACACACCGACTTCTGGTCTGCCAAGCCCACACTCTTCCTGGCCCTATCGCGTGTAGCCTGGGGCACACCTGCCAGGATCCAAGTCAGACAGGACTTCACCATCTCCCTGAGTCAGACATACACTTCCCTCTCTCCTGCATCTGTCAAACTCACTTGGGGATGGGGCTCAGCACTCACAAGCTTGGATCCCCAGAATTGCACAAAAGAAGTCAGGCATCTCCCTCAGCTCCCCAAACAAAACTCACTTGGAATCTTGTTTGTCTGGAGCCGTTTCTATTGGAGCCTGACATTCTGGAGATGAGTAGCCGTGTTCAACTGAATCACGTCCCAGTCTCCACGGCATTCAGTGTACGCCATGTCAAGAGGAAGAAGTCAGATTCCAGAATGGATCAGCACGACAGAAGGCAAGCCAGGGCTGCACGGCACTTTCTCAGAGACCACATGTTACGGTAATGTGCACTGACTATGGAGTTCTCTGCCAGCCACTTTGCTCACTGCTTGACATGCATGGTAGTAGCCCTCTCGGTTTAAGGAATTAGGGCCTTGGCCAACAGCGGCACTGTCAGGCCAACCGGCAATGTGAATGGTCACAGATCAGGCAGCAGGTGCTGGCCCTGGTCAGAGCAGGTGGCTCTCTGTTCTAGGGGATACGTGGGAGGGTACAGGGTTCATTCCCCACATGAAAACATACTTCTGGAAGCTTCTCTCACTACCCTTACTCCCATATTAATGGCTCCACTGGCTAAGTGTCCATCTTTCGTTCTCCCTTCTGTGTGTATTCTACTGGGCAACTCCCCAGCTTCCTCTGCAGCCAGGCTCTAGCCCCTACTACGCTGGAGATGCTGACTTACTAATTATACCAAGTCCTCAGTCCCTTGTGCTGCCTTCCATATCGCAGCTAGCCCTCCGTTGCCTGAAGCACACTTTTCTAACATAATTGTTTCTGTGAGCGGTCTCAGACAGGAAATGCGCTTTGCATTTTACAGACAATCTCATCGCTGTTGGGAGTTAACTGTGGGATTACAGTTACTCCGTAACCGAAAGCAGGAGGATTGGGCTCCAGTAAGCATGCAGCCGGGAACAAGCAACAGGTTGTGATTCCTGGCGCCTAGTCAGGCCCCTCTCCTCAGATCAATGTGGCCGATAGCTGGAGAAGGCAGTTAGCCCCACACGCACCAGGCTGAAGTGTCAGTCATGGGCCATGGGAGACTGCTGGAGACGCCATACGCCCACAGCGGCTGCCGATCTCTGGGACAGCTTATTGGGCAAGACTGGAATGAACAGCAAACACGCCCTGTTAGCTGCTTTGCTCACGCTTGGGCACAGGCTGACTCAGGACTCTCACAGTGCTACCCCAGGCTCCCTGTAGGTGTCTACGTGAAACCTATGCCGAACACGGGACCCATACACTGGTGATTCACAAGACAGATACTGACATTTCCATGGCAACCCATTGCACTTCCTTAAATGCTTAGCTGTGAGTGATGTTACTATTTTTACTTTTGCCATCACCATACAAAGAGGAAGGTTCGGAGACAATGTCAAAGAAGGGTCTTGGCCATGGTTGATGGAAAACGAGGTCAAAGGTCACCAGGACCCGATGTTCCTGCTCCCTACGTGGGAAACACTTAGCCTTATCCCCCGTTGGGTGCCAGCCACGGCCAGCTGCGCTTTTCCCTCCCAGCTTGGCTCTGTAACGGCTGATGTCCCTAGTCAGTCCAACCTCCAATACAAATGCCATCTTCACAGTGACATCTGCTGGGCTCTCCAGGCTGTGTGTGTCCCACACACGTTATTTATGTCTGTTATCACATTTATCACAATCTGCCAGTTTCCAGTCGGCCTTATCCCTGGCTGTCTCCCTCGTAAGGTCTGTGAGTTCTGAGGTAGTGGGTGTGTCTATCTCTGGATACCTAGCACTTCAAGTTCAGTGGAGTGCACAGATTTCCTAGTGACAGAAACACAGTCGTTTCCAAAAAGCACTGAGGAGAAAGGAAGTCCTTAGTTCATTTTAACAGTGGTGTCCATGACTGCCAGTATCTCAGAAAACGAGCAGCTGTTTATTCGCTGGTAGACCTCTGCTGACAGGATCCACCCGGCAGCAGGCAGCCAACGAGGCCCCCAAGTGACACATGAAGTGTCAGGGAATGATACGAGGACGTAATGAGAACCTGGCTGGCAACCTGTTCTGGAGCCTTCCACGAGGCTACCACACTTCCAAACTGAATAACCTCCTGACCGTGCTGCTCACATCTTATAAGCATCATATTTGGGGACTGTGTGACTCTCAGAGTCGGAGACCAGTAGTCACCAGCAAAAGAAGATTCGAAGATCACTTATGGGAAGAGATTACCCAGCAAATCCTCATCCTGAGAAGCCAAGCCATGCTCACACTGTTTAGACAAAGAGGTCTCACGACAATCCAGTCTTTGATTCCATCTTCCATCCACCTCCGGGAAAGCGAGACAGCTGGACACCTCTGCCACCTCGGGCAGTTATATACACTCATGCTGAAAGCCGCAAACAAAATGCAGATGTTTCTTCCTGCATCCCAGGCACATCAGACTCACCCCTAGGTGTGGGAATGGCCCAGAGCAGGATGGCCTACAGTATCAGGGCAAGCACGGTGGGACTAAAGGAAGCTCTGGGGGTTGTGGGTGGTACTGTACCATGACAGAGGCCACCGAGCATGCATTTCCAAATAATGCCCTTCAAGGGTAGGCAGCCACTGTCTTAGACCCACTCTTGGGAGGCAGCTATGCTCCTCAGAGAGGGGGGTGGATACTTGAAGTCTCTGAGGTTTCTTAGGTGACTCGTTGAGCCTCTAAAAAGGAAGCAGAACAGACTGGGCCAGCTGTGCCAGAGCCTTTTCACAGAGCATGTATTGTGTGCATGTGTGTACATGTGAGTGCATGTGTACATGCATGTCGTGTGTGCGAGTGTGTGTCATCCAGCATGGTGTGTGTACATAATCTTTTCTCTTCTTACTATAGAAAGAAAGTCTAGAAACCCAGGTCTCAGGTCTTGTCCTGCTCTAAGCAAGGATTCTGGTATACTGTGGATCAAATGCCTTATTCTCCGTGGGAATCTCACTGCAGCCTGATGCCTCTTGGGAATTTTCCAGACAGAGTTGCAATGTAATATATCCCGAACTCAACACACTAAGCCAGGGGCTGCATGAAGAGACAGTGCCGCAGCAGCAGCACACAGGGATGAAGCCTATTTCCCTTCGGGATAATGCCTGCTTCCCCTAAACATCCCACGAAAAAGCAAACCCCACCCACACATTCTCAGAGACGGGAGAACATGGGCTCAGGATTCAGATTCTAGTTGCTTACAAAGTACTGAAGCATTTTGCTGCCTCAGTTTCTCTACTGAAGGGAGCTGGCGGATCTGATAAAGTATTATACATAGCACAAAGGCCCCACTCCAGGTGTCTGAGGGAGGCTCCAGTGAACCCATTCAGCCTGACTCAGCGAAGGAGCTTCAACCTCTGTGACCGTGTCCACAGTACAAGAACTGTTTGTGGCTCGAGTGGGTGGCAAGGTGCGCCAGGGTGTGGGGGGACTGGAACGGCAGAGCGAAACTGAGTGTGGACATTCAGGCAGGACCTCCTCCAATCACAATTCTTGCCTCAGGCTCACCTGCCGGTCCTCAGCCAGGAATTCATACAACGCCCCAGGCCTGATTCCAGCACAGGTCTCCCTCCTGGGACCAGTTCTGGCTTTGAAAAAGGGTTTCCTTCCTGCTATGAGAGCGGGCACGGATGGGAAGATCCAAGCAAGCCTGTTGGCCTTGCTCCTGCCAGCACCTATGGCCACAGATGGCAACCCTATGCACTCGGCCTCCCAGGATCTGAAGGGCTCCTCTGATGTCATCTCTAGTAAGCTTCAGAGGCAGCTCCAGTAACTGATGTGCGCCTGCCAGAACACATTACGTACATTCTCAAAGGCCACAGGCACGCTACAAACCAGCCTCCATGCTGAGAGTCACATTCTGTGACATCATCGTGGTCTCAGGGACTTAATTAGGCGGAGTCCCGAGGCTTCAAAATCCACACATTGAGCTACTAGTCACCCAGAAAGAAGTTAAAAAAAAGGAGAGAGAGAGGAACGAAAGCACGGTGGGGAATTCCCAAACCTGGCACAGTTCCTGTAGCTGGTGGAAGTTCCAATGCTAGGATTTTAAGCCAGATGTGGAGAAAACATCTGCCTTTGGCTGGAATAAGACAAAATAAGCTTTCAGGTGGCTTGCTGTGGTCTGTGGAAACATGTGACTCCCTCCAGTTCCCTCTGCAGCCCACAGGCCTCCAGGTCAGAGCGCCAAACACTTGAGCGGCTTTGGCCTGGGGTAAGGAGACCCACAAGCCCAGCCTTGGCACCTTGCCTTCCATGGCTCAGCTCTGTAGAAAGGGGAAGCTCCAACTGGTATCTGACTTCTGCCTCGGGGCCAGGCTTCGCCTCTTGGCAGACACAGACTGCACTGACTCACCGAGGTCTCTGTAGTTTATCCTGCCTGTCAACTGTTTGGTCCACAGCATCCTTCCCTACCTGTGTCTATTCTTCTCAGTTCCTTTCTCCTTCCCCTTTTCCTCTTCTTCCCATTTCTTTTCTTTCCTTTCCTTTCCCTTCCTCCTTCCTTCCTTCCTTCCTTCCTTCCTTCCTTCCTTCCTTCCTTCCTTCCTTCCTTCCTTCCTTCCTCCCTCCCTCCCTCCCTCCCTCCCTTCCTTCCTTCCTCCCCCCTTCCTCCCTCCCTTCCTTCCTTCCCTCCTTCCTTCCTTCCTCCCTCCCTCCCTCCCTCCCTCCCTCCCTTCCTTCCTTCCTATCTTCCTTTCAGGACAATGTCTCACTATGTAGCCCTGGCTGGCCTGGAACTTGCTGTGTAGACAGGCTGGCCTCAAACTCAGAGATCTACTGGCCTCAGCCTCCTGAGTGCTGAAATTAAAGGCACGTGCCACAATGCCTGGTTTCCATTTTGTTTTTTTTAAAAACAGGGTCTCACGTAGCCCAGGACAGCCCTGGATTCACTATGTATTCCTGGCACTCCTGCCTCCATCTGCCAAACGCTCCGATGACAGCTGCGCCCCACCACGTCCAGCACACCTCTTCATTGCCTTCAAGAAGCCACATCCCGGATCTCCCCCTGCACCCTTGCTCAGTGACAGGTCCTCCCTACAAAGAAGTATTTTCAGTAAGTTCTGTCCACGGTCTGGTCTGTTTTGGCAATGAGGAACAAAAGCAACCTCATTTAATGTGATTAAAACAGACAGTAGTGGGGCTCAAAGGGATGGGAAAAGTTTTCTTCTCACTTAGCAATCCTCAGAAAGCAGACCTTCGTACAACCCCTTCCTGTTCATCTGCTCAAAGCTGAAAAGTGCCTGGGGTCTGGCTGTGTGTTTCACGGCCCCACCTCTGCCAGACGCCTCCCAGTTTAACTTGAGGATGCTCATCCCGCAGGCATGGGAGAAAGAACAGAGATCTTGACGACAAACAGACTCATTTCTCTGGGACCATCAAGGCTGCCAGCTAAGTTGTAGCCTCCTCAAGACCCCAGGGAAGTACTTACGACGGAGGATGTGTTGCACTTTGAACAAGGATAGTTTCTGAACTCAGGAGCTTTGGTATGTAATATAAATAATTAAAAACAAAGAGCCGAGGAGTGTGGCTTCGCACGCACCTGCTCGTCTGAAGCATAGAGTACTTCCATTAGTCGCTGCACAAGGTCATCATTTTCCTGCCCATGTTCCTGGCACAGCACTTCGATCTCTCTCAGCTTCCCGAAGTAGAAGTCTCTCTCCTTTTCCACACCTTCTAGGGCAAGTTTCAACGAATGTACCTGCAGGAGAGTGGGGGGGGGGGGAAGAAAACCCCGAAACAGAGTAAGAAGTGTGACCTGCTATGTCTACACGCCACGATGCTACATGGAGCCGGACACAGAAATAAATGGAAATGTAAGTGTAAGGGGGAACCAACAGGCCCGGAGTCCAGTCAAGAGCATGCTGGCCACTTTTGCTGCTGTTAGTGTTTATTAGTCAGTCAGGGTGGACTATGCACCTGCATAGCTGTATCTGAGCTTACACAGCCTTTTTTTCATTGGTAACATGGGCCGGACCACATCTTGTTGCTATGGTCCAGGATGTCGGCATCTCCCCAGTACTTATGCTGGAATCCTACAATGTGATGGCCTCAGGAAGCAGGGCCTTTAGGAGGCGAACGAGATTTGTTTATTCAAGAAGCCTAAGGGATCTTTCCACCTTCTCAACATGAGAAGACCAAAAGGACCGGGTCTTGGCTAAACAACCAATCTGCCGACACTTTGATATTGGATCTCACAGGCTCCAGAAAGGTAAGAAATAAAATTCTGTGGCTCACAAGCTAACCAGCATAAGGTGTTTTGTTACAACATCCTAACAGACTCAAAACACTCCTTTTGTAACCTACTGGGGAGGGAGATGTATTTTGTTTGTTTATTTGTTTTGTTTTTTTAAGACAGGGTTTCTCTATGTAGCCTTCCTTGGCTGTTCTGGAACTCACTCTGTAGGGCAGGCTGGCCTCGAACTCACAGAGATCTGCCTGCCTCCCGAGTGATGGGATTAAAGGCCTGGATTACCACTGCCCGACTGAGAGTTGTGCTTTTGAACTAACCCTTCCTTCAGATCACAGATATTGAGAGCCACTCCTATGATGTGAGTCAGAGCAGACAAATGCAGTCCTATGCGAGGGCAGATCCTGGTGCACCCAGAGCATGGGGCAGGAGTGGAAGGCCGGCTGGGTCAGTCCGCCTCCATTTGTCCAGTTCTGGCTTTGTGTGTATTACTGCAGGGCAGGGTGGTGGAGGCTGCAGACAAACACAGCTCGCAGTTCTGCCATGCCCTAGAGGTGGGCTTAGGGACCTTCGAGTGCTGTGAAGTTGTGAACTTCTGGGTCAGTGCAAGCCATGGGCTAGAGCCAGCAGCCAAGGCAGGACCACAACACTGACAGGGGGTGGGGGTGTTGTCTGTACCGAAAAGGCCTGCTGACTTTAGGATGCAGCTCTCTGACACGCATAACAGCTACACACAGGTCCAAACTATTCCCTGTTCCTGGAGAACCTTCTATTTTGTATTACTTTATTCATTTACGTTTATGCAGAGCAAAGATTCTAAATGAGGGGTCGTGACTCTGCACTGGGTTGTGTGACTGAACGGAAGGGGGAATTACAAAACTATCTGGCAACAGCAGAAGCTTGTGCTGTTCATCAGTTAAAACTGATTAGAGATTGAATGCACGGTGGACTCAGGGTGTTTCTGGCACAGCTTTCCTGTGTGGCACCGTGTGACTTCACTGCAGCGGTGGTTGGGAGCACCTGACACCGCACCATGCACGCTGTCAGGCCACACATGGCCCACACATGCTGCCTGAGGCGCCTCACCTCAGACGGGAGCTTTCCAAGGCTCGCACTGCACACATTGTTCTTACAGAAACGCGCTGGTATAATTACAGAAAACAAACACTAACCCATCCACTGTCACTCCCTAACAAGCAAGTAGCAAATTAGTTGGCTTGTCTGGTTCTGTCAGACAAAGAAACACCACTTCATTAGTGTGCAAACTTGCCTTTTTTTTTTTTTTTTTTTGGAGACAGTCCTGTCTGGCCTAGAACCCACTGAGATCCACCTGCATGCCTCTGCCTTCTGAGTCCTGATTAAAGGTGTGTGCCACCATGCTGGCTCCAAAGAACTATTTTAAGATAAAATTTCTTTATGATTTATGACCAGGTCATTTGTTTTGTTTTCCCCTTTTATAGTCCTATGAACCTGGGGTCGCTTGAAATTTCTGGAGGGAAAAGAGGTTGTGGGTACAGATGGTTGAAGAAACCTTGGCATAGCAAACACTGGGTGGGGAATAAATAAAATCTCGTGGTTTCTTTTAGGTGAAGTATGCTTCACCTAAAAAAAAAAATCCTGTACATTAGTTTTATTTATTTATTTATTTATTTATTTATTTATTTATTTTTTGATTTTTCGAGACAGGGTTTCTCTGTAGCTTTTTGGTTCCTGTCCTGAAACTAGCTCTTGTAGACCAGGCTGGCCTCGAACTCACAAAGATCCGCCTGCCTCTGCCTCCCAAGTGCTGGGATTAAAGGCGTGGGCCACCACCACCCGGCCTGTACATTAGTTTAAGTAATTACTTTTCAGGTGCAAAATCTCTCTCTCTCTCTCTCTCTCTCTCTCTCTCTCTCTCTTTTTAAATAAGTTGGGTTTTGGGTGCATGATCTCTGGAATTACTGACATTCAAACACATACTGGTACATGTAGCCATTCCTTTACCCCATATCTGGCAAACATCTATGCTGGGAGGGGCCCTTAGTCTGATCTCACGGACGCCCTCACGCAAGCACTTCCAAAGAAGTGTGGGTTCAGTTAGTTAAGCCTGACTTTTTATTCCTGTTGAGACTACACACCTGCAAACACACACGGTGACCAGCTTGCACTTCAGAAACAGGAAAACCTCCCTGGTTCTGATCCCATCTCTGACCCAACCCAAGCAGAGATATTCCTTTAGCTCCTTTCCACACATGCAGCTCAGGGGAGGGTTTATTGTGACCCACAGATCGGGGGTCAGAGGGCATGGTCTGTGGCACCTGGAGCCAGCCGCAGCTGCTCGTGTTACATGGTGCTGGCCAGGAAGTAGCAACCCAGAAGAGAAGCGGGACTGAGCTACATCCTTCGAGGCCTACCACATTCCAGCGAGGCCTCAACTTCCGTTTTCTACAACCTCCCCTGACAGCACAGCCGGCTGGGAACCAAGTGTTAAAACACACAGTGGAGGATGGGGTGGAATTCACATCCAAATCCCAGCGGGCACAGCCAACCTACAAAATCCAGGCTGTGCCTACAGACAGCGGTCTGACAGTACACCGAGGCTTTTGTGGGAACACTCAGTGTGAGCTGGGTCAGGCTGGCATTCCTGATATGTTAGCAAAAGGGAATGAACCCGTCAATACCTGTCTCCCCCTAACCTAAAAACTGATGTCAGCTAGTCATGGTGGTGTGCACCTGTAATTCTGATATTCAAGAGACTGAGGCAGGTGAATCACTGTGAGCTCAGATCCAGATTGGTCTACAAAGTCAAAAACAAAAACAAAAACAAAAAATTCTGGCAGTAGCTACTTTAAAGGAACAAAGATCAGCTAGCAAACACAATTCCATCCGAATGGTGCCACCAAGGGACAAATGGCCAGCCTCCATTCCTCATGGGTCACAGAGGCTGAGGAAGTCATGTTCAAAGGGGGAAGTTGCTTTCCTAACTTCCCAGGAGTGTCTGCAGACTTGGGTCCCCCAGAGGCCCCGTGACACAGTGGCTCCGATCCATTTCCTGCGGGCTGCCCCACTGTCCAGAAAGTCTCATTTATGCCTCTTCCTCCCGTCTCTTCCGCTTCCCTGGAGTTGTGGGGCACAGTGTGCTTCTGCTGTATATCATGGGAGACTGCCTGAATAATGGAACGGGGCCAAGTAAATGAAAATTCTTTAAGTTTATGGCAGCTGTCTCTTTCTCTATTACCACCATAATTCATGCTTCTGCTTCTGCATTTCTACTAGGCTTCTCCTGGTCCCTGTGTTCTCCATTCCAACACTGGGACCCTCGTGTTGCTGCCACCCACGGCCCTCAGGGTCTTCCTCCTGGAGGCTTCAAGGCCGGCAGTTGGACTCAGGTCACCAGGGAAATGAACCAGGATGAGAACGTGGTAAATATCTGTCCAGTTTAGGTTGTGCTTCCCCTGCCCTCTGAAGGACAGAGTGGACGTAGGTATGAAGGTGTAGGGGACAAGAAGGGGAGCAAGGCCTCTGTTAGTTATCCAGGATATTCTGTTGCTCTCCAGGAAGGAGAGCACGTAGACCATTCCCCGCTCCTGCCCCTTCTGTCCTCTCTTGACTGGCACCAGGGATCAGCAAGGCATTTTGGAACTAGACCCCCAGCATGTAGTCAGAATTGGGTCACTGGGTTGGAACTACGCTGAGGTGGATGGAGAAGGTGTGTGTATGTGAGGGGGTGTTGGTCAGGAGACCTGAGTACAAACTGTTAATGATAAAGTTTTGAGCTGCTTTGGGGCGGAGGCATAAATCCAGGGCCTAGAGCACGATGTACCCAGGCCTGATTTTCACCTTCCACCTGGGCTCGTGTCACCGTCCATTCGGGCTCGCATGAAGTATCAAGCTGACGGCCCGAGGCTCATTAACTGCCTTTCTCCCCCTTTCGTTAACTCTGAGCAGAAGTCAGTACTGGAAACCGCCTGGCACCCAATAGATGATCAGCAGGTAACTAGAACACGCCCCGTAATCCAATCAGAGTCCTGAGGGGACTTAAGATTTTACCTGAAGTGCTAACACGACCAACTCAAAGCCTGTGGGACTCTGCACTGGAATCCTGACTGAGAACACACAATTATTCAGACTCTTGCCTTATCAAGCAGAAGATTAAGGGCTAGGCCAGGTTCAGCTTGTGGCTGGGCACAGACTAAGGATCCGCAGTGAAAGGTTCCTTCCCAATGGGGGAGACCTGGGGCGGGAAGCAGGAGGCTTTACAGTGGGCATCGCACTGCCCAGTGGTTTAGTAACCTTAAGCTGTATTACTGTAGGCAAAACGAGGTATTATGAGTTAGAAGTCATTTTGGATCAAACCTAGAGCCTCCTGCGTGCTAGACCGGTGCTCTCCTACAAAGTCACACCCCATCCCGTACTTAGGGTTTCACCTTGGAAATGTCAGCTGGTGTAGCTAGGTTTACCATAATTATCAGAGGGCTGATACGTTGGGAAAATTTCTATTTAAAACACAGATGTTACCTTTCAGGGCTCCCAGGCACCCCACTTCTGACACTGTAGAGAAGGCTGGGTTTTTTTTTTTTTTGGTCCATTTATTCATTTGTTTAATTTCAGTACGAAGTTCTGATGTTAATAGGCTTTGAGTGAGGGGACAGTATCATCCATCTTGCTATCATTATGCCCCCAGAATCAAGCACAGTGTCCACCACATAAAAGAGGCTCAACCACTAGCTGTTGAAAAAGAAGGGGCGGAGAGGGAGCCAGCTGAACTCTAATACAGCCATAACACTTTTCAGACTGGCTGGGAGCGGGCAGGGAAGGCCTGGGGTTCAAGATGGGCACCAAGGAATAGGGAGCTGGGAGGTAGCCTGCACCATCTTCCACATCCTCACACGCGGAATCAGCTCCGTAACTAACAGTGCTCCTCCCCAGCTGCGGAGTCTCCCTTCTTGAGCAGGTCCTCCTGGTCTCACCTTTTCTCCCTTCCCCCAGGCCTGTGGGTGTGACCTCCTCACCCCTGCACACAGCACTGTTCCCAGAGACTTGGGTGGAGACAACGTGTTACCTGCTCGTTGAGCTGTATGACCTGTGTTTCTAAATCTTTGTCAGATCTGGATGCGGAGCCACTGGATGAAGCCCTTTTGGCAGACGAGGGGCGAGAAGGTGTGGATCCCGGCTTAGCTGCGGGGCTCGATTTAGCCGCACCTAGAAGCAAGCAGAGTATACTATGAGTAGAGCCGACATTAAAAGACTTTCGTGTAGAATGTGAATGCATGATATAAAATGAGCCTCCTACATGTTACAGGCAATGTGCCAATACCCCCTTGGTACAGTCAGAAGCAAGGCACACCAGCAAGCCCGTGTCCTATGACAACCACACACTAAACCTCACAAGAACAGCCGCTCCTCAAGAAGAGGTTAACCCTTTCCCTCCGGGCCTAAAATCACAGCTCCAGTGAACCTAAGAGGAAAGACTTTAGGGGCTGGGGAGCTAGCTCAGTGAGTCAGTGCTTACAGAAGAAGCCTGAGGAGCTGAGATCCTCAGAACCCCTGTGAAGCCAGATAGATATGCTAGCCCAGGGCTCCTCCTGGGAATGGGGAGGTGGAGGCAGGAGACTTCCTAGAGGCTCACTCAGGGACAAACATGGAGAGCGAGCGAACCAATGCCAAGTTGTACTCTGTCCTCCACCACATGCATGTACCCCCCCCACAAACACGTGTTCACATATCACATACACATGAATGACAGGAAATGTTCTTCAATCATCACACAGAATCGCTGTACGTGTGTTTTTAAGAGCAAAGGCCCCATGACAGGTTCAAACCTGTCATGTGCTTCCTTTTAGTATACCCTGTAGCTCCTGTGACAGAGGAGGGGCAATGACATCTCCATGGCAACGAGCACCCTGATGTCTAATATCGGTTTCTAAATGTCACTCTTCAACAGAAGGGCTTCTCGAGAAGCTGCTGCTGACAGGGATGGTGCAGAACTGGAGAGTAAGCTCAGGAGAGTTTGTGGCAAGAAGCAAAGACACACTCAAGGCAAGGGACACGAGGACCAGCTTGGAGGGGGGGGCAGTCCACTTAGCACAAAGAATAATGGCTGCATCTTATGAAATGCCTTGGGTACATGATGAGGGGAAGGACGAGAGGGGTGCAAAGGATGTACAGACTGAGGACCAGGGAATGCCGAGGAAACGCTAGAAGAAACACAGATCTGTAGTACCCCTAATAAAGAGTAATCCCCAAGCTGCCCCTTAATGGGTGCGGAGGCATTTGATGGGAGATATTACAGGGAGAAGCCTTCCCTGTGGGTAAGTTCTGGGGTCAGCACCATAGCCACAGGGTTAGCGAGTTCCTAATCATGGCACAGTTATTTCGGGTGAGCGGTCACCCGCCCGGCACTCAACCCACAGTGGACTTACTGTCCAGAATACAACACAGACACCACAGGAATGGCTTCTGGAGCCAAAACAGAAGCAACTAGGTATATAGAGAGAGTTCATGTGCCTCTGAGTAAGAGCTGAGCCACTCCCAGGGCCCACCCCTTTGTTTTGAACACAGTCCCAGACCAGCAACAGTCCTGGTTTCCCTGTCTGCAAGTATCTCCCGTGTGTGTTCCCTCCACCCAATTAAAATTTCCACCACAATCTTGCATCCTCTCCCCTTCTAGAAAATTCTTAGAGGGCAAGGAACAGTCTTCTTCACGTCAGCAACCCCAGTGCCTTGTAAAATGTTAGGCTAAATATGTTTGGTAGAGGAACCACTTTAGATAAATAGATAAAGAGGCAATTAAAACTTGGCTATGTGCTTCCAACTTCAGTTTCCAGTTTTCCCGACGGAGGAAAAGGATTATAAAAAACAGGCGCGGAACAGCAGCTGCAGGTTTCAACCAATACCTTAATTACAACGCAGCCAGCAGGAAGGCTGTAAAATTTATATGGTGTGTCTTCAGGTGCCTGGAGACACGGGATACAGATGGGAGTCTTACGCACCTCCGAGAAGCCTTGACAGTGTCACGGCCTTTAAATAACATGCTCCTTTGTTACAACAGGGGGAAAAGAATCTTCTTTGAAGACACCGGGGAAGGGCGAAGAGACTTGAAATGGTTAGGCTGTGAATGACTTACATTGGTCTGTGTTTGGAAAGGGTCAATCAGTGGGGCCCAGAAACCTCCCCTATGCACAGAGCGAATGAGGGACCCCAGGGAGTTATGGCTGCTTGGAATGGGCAAACTGCTGTGAGACCTTTCCTCTTTGTTGAAGCCCAGGCGGAATTCTTCCAGTACCTAACTTCTCAGTTCTACCACACAGCTTCTCTGGCTGTAAGCAGACTGGAGAAGACAGGGAACACAGTGACCTTCAGACAGCCACTGGTCTATCATCAGGGAAGGCCACTTTTGCAACCATCAAGTGCTTTCAGGTGACTTTAAAAAGCAAGACTGACATTTTACTAGACAGGGAGTCTAACGGAAAGACTGCAAAGAGGAGAGCTTCTTATCGATAGTAAGAACCCGTACGAAGGAGTCCACCACAGCCATGAACAGGGGCTGCTAAAGTGATGGAGATGCAGTCTCTCCCAGACTGACAGTCACAATGCCCAGACACGGTGCTCTCTTGGCCTTCTTGGGAACAGGCCAGTGTTCTGGGATGCTGTGCCTGCCAAGAGTGTACGTGAGGCAGTCTTTCCTCCGTATTCAGCATTCTCCTCCCCTTTAGTCAACCCTGCGTCCTTTAGTAACTAGGGCTTCCATCCTTCAGGTCTCTGCTTGTACTGTCTCATCCCCTGGAGGCCACAGTGCCCTGAACATTTCCTCAGAGGCTGTGCGAACCACACCAACATGATGACACCGGATGCTTCTTCTTGCACAGGGCATAATTTCAGGACGCTGGAGCTGCATCTATCTCATTTGCCACTGACAAGTGCAGCAAGTGCAGCAACTACAGCAAGTGCAGCTCCTGACCTGGCCACATTCTGTGCACTGTCGGAGTTGCTAGGTACCCAGCAGAGGCAGTGAGTCAGCAATGACACCCAGGCAGGTTTGAGGCACTGATGCCAACGTCAAAGTCTGGCTGCAAGAGCCAACATGAACGAAACCATTTGGGCATCAGCCTTCCAGCTGGGCTCTTCTGATGTTTCCTTTCCAGGCCCCCTTTGTAAGTTACAGTGTGGGGCTCCTTCCATGTGGAACCTGGCCAATCCACTGAGAGAGTGAGTGTGGCCAGCTGATGTCAAAATGGGGTAGGAGCCAGGTAGTTGGTGCTGGGCTGTGCACATCTCTACCACTGGCCTCTTGAGGACCACAGAAAGGCCTTCCTAAGAAAGTACATATATACTCTCCAGGTCAGGCAGTTCTTCCTAAGTAGGTCATCAAAAGATAACTAAGCTCAGGTCACTAGGTAGTCATGCCCTCACATTCTGACATCAGTTCAAAAAGAAAAGTATACAAAAGAGGCAGAAGGTTGGTAAAGCTTGTCAACACAGAGCCACCACCACTAACTATGACTGCAGGACCAGACCAAACGTAAATTTGAAACAAACTGAATTGTTAGATAAGTAGGAGAGGGGAGCGGTAAGCCGATCTGCAGGCGATGGAGGCTGGGGTGACATAATCTACATGTCATAGGAGAGAGGCCAGAGCTGGTGGCAGAGTGGCTACAGCCACACAGCCTCTCAGAAAAAACTGTTTTCTTTGTGGAAACACATCCTTGCTGTGGACAGAGCCCAGCAGACCTCTCTGAGGGTCTGATTCTCCAAGCCAATGGGCTCAGCCTTAAAATAACGCTGGTTTCTTGGGTCCTATAGAGGTCAGTTGATACCCAGAAACCAGGTCTTTCATGCTGGCCTACATGAACATCTCTTAGGGATCCCTGAGGTGAGAGAGAGGAAAACATGAGAATCAGACTTGGGGTGTCAGTTGCTCCACCACACACACACACACACACACACACACACACACACACGCTTCTGATTAGGTTGTTCCGAGAGAGGCGAATCGAGAGAAATCAATGACAAGTGAGGACGAAGCACTGAAGGGACAAACAGGGAGAAAGTAAAGGATGAAGACGTCTTATTCTTCAGCATCTTCTCATACATCAGTGTTACACAGAAAGCTTCCTTCAGAAGGATGCAGAGCAAGTACACTAACACCTCACGCGACACACTGACAGGGACAGACTTACCCTCACACAGCTCAAACACCCAGAGAGCTGCGACAGGTAAAGGAGGTGAACGCAACCTGTGGCTTCCACACTCACGGACGTGAACTCTCTGGCATCTATGTTTCTTCCTGGAGTATGGAGGAGTAGGCAGTCTCCTCAAGCTCTCCACATCCCCTGTCAGCTCAGAATAGGTTCTGTTCCCTAATTAGACAAGCCTTTGCTTTTCTCTCCTCTTTCTTCTTCCTTCAAAGAACTACACTCTAAAGTGTATCTAACTTCTGGGACAAGGTATTTTTTTTTCTTATTTACTGGGACCAATCATCCTAAGGATGTTATCAAGAAAACGTAGTTATCAATACCTGTAAAGTTGCCAGGCGGTGGTGGCGCATGCCTTTAATCCAACCCAGCACTTGGGAGGCAGAAGCAGGCGGATCTCTGTGAGCTTGAGACCAGCCTGGTCTACAGAGCGAGTTATAGGACAAGATCCAAAGCTACAGAGAAACCTTGTCTCGAAAAGCCAAAAAGAAAAAAAAAAATCTGTAAAATTAGTGTTGGTGTAAGACATGTATGTAAATTACAAATTGTTTTCCTATCTCCTCAAGTGACCCAGGCCATGTCTAGTGTCTGATCCTGGCTTTAGAGATGAGGTCCTCAAAGGCTATTTTTTTTTTTTTTATTTTGGTTTTCACCACCTGGCTTCAAAGGCTATTTTCTTAGCAACCCAAAGGCTCAACTCCACCAGAGATTCTGTTTCTGTGTCTTCCCAGGTCTCATGCTTCCAGGATGAGCACGTGGGAAACACTGGCATCGTGGCTTTTAAAGGCAAGGCAGTCACTCTGGCTACAATTCAGATACAGCTTTTTCCTTACAGCTATCAAACACTTGAATTTCTTTCAAGCTGCGTTTGATGATGTCCTGAGACCACAATTAGCAGGAGCCCTGTTTTCGACGCAATTGTTCTGCCCTTAAGCTTTTCTCCTCCCCCTTAATTTTCCCTTTCAAAATAAAAAGGGGTTTCAGAAGGAGAGGAGAATGGACATAAAC